AACAGCACTTCACACCGACGCAAGCAATGTAGGCCTGGGCGCCGTACTGGTACAATGGCAAGATAACTCCGAGAAAGTGATAGCCTATGCCAGCAGAGCTCTCTCTCGCACGGAAGAGAACTACTCGACTACCGAGAAAGAGTGCCTCGCCGTGGTTTGGGCGGTTCTCAAATTTCGACCGTATCTGTACGGCCGCTCATTCAAGGTCGTCAGTGATCACCACTCGCTTTGCTGGCTCACTAACTTGAAAGACCCATCCGGCCGTTTAGCACGCTGGAGCCTTCGGCTTCAGGAGTTTGATATGACCATTATTTATAAATCAGGGAAGAAGCACACCGACGCAGACTGTCTCTCGCGGTCACCCGTTGAGCCTGCCTCTATTAATGACGAGTCTATGGACGCCGCATTCTTGGGAGTCATCAACGCGGCCACTATCTCACAAGAGCAGCGCCGTGACCCTGACCTGCTTTCGCTTATCGATTTCTTAGAAGAACGACGGGAAGACGTGCCGCGAATTTTTGCGAGAGGAGTGCCATCTTTTTGTTTAAGGAACGACGTCCTATACAAGAGAAACTTTTCTCCCACCGGCAGCCCATACTTGCTCGTCGTCCCTGCATCACTGCGAAAAGAAATTCTGGAAGCCTGCCATGATGAAGTCACCTCTGGTCATCTCGGTTACACTCGAACATTGTCCCGTCTGCAAAACAGTTACTACTGGCCTAACCTACCTGCTGCTGTGAAACATCACGTCCAAACATGTGCCGACTGTCAAAGACGCAAAGCACCACCCGGCAGGCCGGCAGGCTTATTACATTCCGTTCAAGTACCAGCAAAGCCATTCGCCCAAATCAGAATGGATTTCCTGGGCCCATTCCCAACTTCTACCACAGGGAACAGATGGATCATTGTCGCCACTGATTACTTGTCTCGCTACGCAGAAACTAAAGCCATGCCGAGGGCCACAGCAGCAGAAGCGGCTCATTTCTTCATAGAAAACGTCGTCCTTCGGCATGGTGCTCCAACAGTTCTCATCGCGGATAGAGGAACTGCGTTCGTGGCAGAACTTTTGGAGTCTGTTCTCAGGCTCAGTGGTACAGCTCACCGGAGAACAACGGCGTACCACCCACAAACAAACGGACTAACAGAGCGGCTTAATAAGACCCTCGCAGACATGCTCTGCATGTATGTCGACACAGAACACAAGAACTGGGACGAAATCTTGCCTTATGTGACCTTCGCCTATAATACTGCCCGGCAGGAAACTACCGGAATGACGCTGTTTAGTTTAATACACGAGCGCGAGGTCACTACAACGTTGGACGCTATGCTGCCGCACGAGTGTGACGACACTCACGCTGACGCCGAAGAATTTGGTCAGCATGCCGAAGAAGCCCGACAGCTAGCCCGCGTGCGTATTTGTCACCAGCAACACAAAGATGCGAAACGGTACGACCTACGACATAAATTAGTAACCTACAAACCAGGCGACAAGGTATGGGTCTGGATCCCAATACGTCGACGCGGACTTTCAGAAAAGCTATTACGACGATACTTTGGCCCATATCGAGTCACCCGACGATTGAACGACATCAACTACGAAGTTATTCTCGACGGCAATTGCAGTTCCAGTCGCCGAAACTGCTCACCCGAAATCGTGCATGTCATCCGGATGAAACCCTACTTGTCCAGCTAACTCTCGTTTGTCCTGTGCGTGCCGGTGTATATGTGCGTTTTTATAAGTAGAGTGCCTTGGCTGTGCATCGGGACGATGCCATTTTTGGAGGGAGGCAAATGTCACGTGCGTCCCGCGAAAAAGATGAAGGCGACAGCGCATACGCGCATCTGCACGCTTTTATGCAGAACGCAACAACGAGAAAGATGAGGAACTCTCTCTCACGCGGTTAACAAAAAGACCGACCCGCTGCTGTTTTCTCAGCGTCTTCGAGTACGATCTCTCTCTTGACGTCGCGACAATATCATAGTGCAGTATGTGGCCTGGAATTTGCAATAAATTCTCAGTCTGCTAAATATCACTCTCTTCTCTCGACGAATAATGCTATATAGAGTGAACTCTCAATACAACGAACCTTAAGGTACTACTAAAGATTGTTGATTGTTTAAAAAATTGGTTGTAGTGAAAATATTGAAAACTTGTGCAAAAAGTGTAAACACAAACACATGAGGCACCCACCTGTGTGACCGCATAATGCTTTAATGAGCGCAAAAAAAAACGCAATATATGATCGAACCAGTACTCGTTTATTTGAGGAAGAGCGTGATCTATCCTAATGTGGGCAGCTTGACTGCACTGCCAAGCATCGGCATTAAATACCGATCCTGCTAGTTTGTTTGCACGCACTGTTTCAGTGTCGTATTTGCTCTCGTTGCTGTTTCCTTATCACGACATAATATGTGGATCTTGTACGTCGTCAGCTAAGCTCACGTGCATCCATCGTTGTCGCACTGTGCATAGTGTTCGAGCGTTCGTGAAGCATTCACGGGTAATCATGAGCGACTATATTCCATAGGTCACTTGCATCGCATTTTCACTGTCGTAGCATTCCTTTTGTGCTGCTTCCGGAGTTCATCTTGTACGTTCAATCACCAATCAAAAGGCTAGAAAACAGCCGTGTAACAAGTGCGCAGGTAAAACTGCCCAACGAAAACGAAGGCCATGGGCGAAGCCTGACACAAAAAGCAGGTACCAGGTGGTGATGATGATGGAACTAGATAGGGCTATCACACATTTGAATAGGGCAGGCAGGGTGTTCTGATGGTGATCATAATCGTAGTACAGAGCTGGGCATTATTTTTGCTGCGGCGAATAATGTTTTAAAATCTCTATTTGTTATTTTCAAGTGTCATGGAGATATAATTCGATACATTATTCTGAAACGTTCAGTATTCAGAAATTCAAAGTGGTGGAATATATTTACATTAAACCAATGGACATTAGGAGGGGGATTTTCAAAAAAATTTGTTAATCTAAAAGAATCATTAATATGAGGTTTGCTAAAACAAGATTTGACTGTACTAAAAAATTATTGCATCACAGGCCCAAGTATCATTGCCATTGGCTGAATTGAGCATGGTGCACTCCGGAGTTACTGGGGCCACTGTGGGAGGCTGCAACCTGTCCACGCGAGTGCGTGTGATCGCTTTAAAAAGGTGCCCATTCAAATAAAAAAAAAATGTGCTATAGGTCACAAGACATGCGTGACTTACCTTCTCCCATGCCATCTGTCTCTTCAGCATTAGCGCTTTACTCGACACTAGAGAAGAGAGAAGGCGATTACAGTATGCGACTATTTTCTGTAACTCCGCTCGTACTAAACAGATTCTAAAAATTTTTGGGGTGGTCAGTTTATGAGGCAATTATAATTACCTCCTTTACTGAATTCATTCCATGGCTACTTGGAAAATCGCTGCAGGGCCCCTTTAAGTATGTTTGTGAGCTACTCAGGTATAACTGGTCTAAAGCAATGCCATTGCGAACCACCTCATGGGGTCAGCCTGTTTTGAAACATAACTGTAAAACAGAAACAATAGAATATAACATGCCTTGCACATACGTCACGGCCTGAAATTCTGGGATACAACTCTATTATTTCAAGGAACACTGTATTGCTCTGAAAGCGCACAAGCGTTTCTGCGATCGCTCATCATAGGGCAGTGTGCTATATTTGGGTGCTCGAACCGCAGCAAAACGAAGAAGGGACAGGATTTTTCAAACCTAACTCTCTTCTATGGCCCAAAGGTTGTCCTCAATCCGTGGGACTGCATGAGAACGCTAAGCACGAATCGGTGCAGTTCGTGGCTGGCAGGTATCAGGCACGCGGTTCTCGGCATCGACCGTGCTGTAATGTGAGTTTGTGGCAGCCACTTCACATTATGTGAGCTCGAAAACCTTTCTTTGATATATCGAAATGCTGGAACGCCACAAAAGAACGGAACAAAATGAATTTGTAGGCAGGCCGTCTAAGCTGTGGGCCGAGATGAATCCCAATTGAGCACCGATAGTTCTGCTTGGATGCTGATGCAACGAAGACTATACACACTACGACCTTGTGAAAGTCAAGCACCTACGAAAAGATCAGACTGATGCAGCGGTGGCAGCAATTGCAGAGTGGATCGGCAACACAGTGGAAGGCCAGCTCCCACGAGAATATGAAACCGGCGCATACGAAAATGATCCTGGCCAACCCCTGCAAGAAGACTGATGCCGTATGGATGAAAATGAGCCTAGTTTGTAGCCTTCTAAAAATTTCGCGAGCTTGCAACTTTCATTAACTGTAAGTAGCCCAGTCCTCTTTTCAAAGAGGAGCAATGTGTTTGTTTTTGTTTTCCCAACAATTGCTTGGCAGACAGACCGAACTTGTGAAGCTCAAGGAGTACAGTAGGTAGTTCACGATATCACTGTGCATTACTTCAGGCAGCATGTTTGTGTCCAGTCCATCGGCGTGCGGTCGTAGGGTGTACAGATAGATGCTATTACACCCTTTCTTCGTATCGAATGTGCATCGATCTAATAAAGTCACTGAGTACGACGTATGTGGCCCTCTGCTGGCAATGATAGGCATAGCCTTCCTAAAAGACTTCGATTTGACAAGCGTGTTGACAGTACATCTCCAAAATGGTGGTTGCCGCTCCAACAGAGACGGTAGTGATATCACGTGCAAGGCATGTTAGAATCTGTGTCCAGATTTTTGCTGTTTTTTAGACTACTATCGACTTTTGGTTGGAATCCTGGTGCCAAATATTGCTCAGAAATTACTTGTTTATGAGATGAATTTTTTTCTTTAATGTTTGTGGACGATTTGTAAAGTTGCTTACTGGCCTTTATTTATTGTTAAAGAATTTTTTTGTTTGTGAACTCTCTTTTCTTAAATACGTACTACATGACAAAACATTTAAGATACCTTGTATATGGGCAAAAGGCAGTTATTTGAATAATCCTTGGTTGAAAGTTTTTATGCTTTGGCTGTGGCCTGCTTATGCAGCTGGGTTGCGAGCCTTCCACCAAGCTACCTGGAGAATGAATTGGTGGGCCCCTTCTTTGAGCCAACACCATGTGGCAAGCCTGGCTTTGTGCCCTCTCCTGTTGTGGTGCCGGAGGCGAGCTTGGCCATGGCTCCTGAAGATCCACGTGTGGGGCTGCTCGCCTTCTATGGTGGCAGTACAGATGCTCCCATAGCCACAGGACCGCCTATTTTGGCTCCTGCTGTTGGCTCCATGATGCCACCCATCGTGGGTCCCAGGTAAGTTTGTGTGGGTCTGGTAAATGTGAAATATCGTATTTACTCGCATGTAGGCCAATGTTCTTTTTTTTTAACTATGTGTGAACGAAGTGGGGTTTAGCTTAGATTCAAGTACCTTGGTTTGATTACGGCCACCACATATGTAAAGGCCCGGCTGCATTAGTGGCATGACAACTCGCTGTGTGCCGATCTCTCGCTGCTGCGTGCTTGGTGTTCTACATGCTCGCCTGAGGCTTATTTTCGCGGCATTCTACGGAAGTGACGTGTGGTGACGTGGGTGCTCAGGCTCGGCAGTGGATTGGTCCCACGGCTACGTAGGCAAGTCACGTTGTGTGCTTCGTACCGTCTATTGTTCCAAAATCTCTGTTTCATGTTCATGCAGCTAGGGTCGTTGAGCTGGGAAGTTTTTATACAGACAAGGGCAAGGGTGCATCGTGTCAGGTGATTACGGCACCGGATATCACCATGTACTTTGTGCTTTAATATTCACTCCTCTCCTCCTCATGCTTGCACGAGTGCAGCAGGGCGGCAGTGATGGTAGTATAATGTTGGCAGTTTTGTGGAAGCAATTGTTCAGTGAACTTTCCATGGTGAAGTAGTTCTGGAAGTGTCAAGTCTTAACCTCATGGTCGGGAAATGCCTGCGCCAAATGTGCTTTTGAAAAGATGGCACCAATCGAGTGGGGCTACTACAGCACGGCCTTCAAGGGAAGATGCGAGCCAAAAAAGACGAGCTTTTTCCAAATTTACTTACTTTTGTTTTATTTGTTTTTCACAGATTCAATTTCTCTACTCTAACAACAAAACATACTGAAGATTTTAATTAAACTTAAAGTAGGTTAAAATTGCTTTTAAAGAGCACAAGGTGGCTACCAGAAACTAAAGAGCTCATTGTCTAGAGTCCCCCTTGAAATTGTCAGCTGGCTGGCTTGCCATTGCATTTCGCATCAGGATTTCACTTAAGCCACTTGTTCAAAATAACAATTATTCCCAAGCTCTCATAATGAAAGAAATCATTTTAAAAAACATATTTTTGCCCCATCGATTAGCATTGACTTATACCTTTAAACTGCATTTTTCTCACGATCCTTTTTTGAACAACTTCTTGGGATTAGACATCATGTTTTGGTACTTTAGATGACCAGATCAGGATGAAATTTTGTCAAGATATTCCATAACATGTGAAAGGTGCAAGAGTTTTTTTTGAAAACTGGATATCATCTGTAGGGTTATTATGAAGCCAAAGCAATGCAGTAAATATGGGCTGAGAATTTTAGGAATTCTCACAGTACAATTTTTCTTGTCAATTAAGATGTCTTATATGAACTTTCTTCGTAGTTATCTGTATTCTACAGTCAATAAGGAGCAGTATGAGCCATTGATGGCTCTAAACCATAAAAGTTGAATGGCATAAAAAAAGTTTGTACAAAACGAACTATTATTTTACAAATTACAATAGCACAAAACGAAAACTGTGGAACTTACTACAAAACTAATTGCATATTTGAAATCTGCATAAAAGCTTATATATACAGTAGAATATTTTATTGCTCTAGGTTACAAATAAACAAACATTTTTTTAATCGCACCTCCCCTTAAGGTGGCAGTCCCACTCCGGCAGCACCCGCTCCACATTTCAATTATTTTTTGCTGATGCTCTATGCTTACTGTGCTCACTGTATAGATGTGCATTGTATTGCATTAGAAAGCTTGCATTCTCCACTTTCCAATGACAACTAGTATTGTTGCCTAGTCTGAAGCGGCGTTGCATAGTGATCAAGACAGTGTGAGCAAAAACCACTGTTTTAGTTGTACAATCATCCGTTGTAGTGGCAGTGTGGCAAAATTGTTCAACATGACCAAATGAAATTCGCTGAGCCTCCTAATGAAACATTATGCAAGGTTTTCATGAAGATATATCACTAGTAAAGCAATTAGAAAGTGGTTCAGGCTCCAATCAAAATGGGCAAAGCAATGCAAGTTCATGAGTGGATAACTTTTTCCTTTTTTATGTAGAACAACAATATTGAATGGGTTTCCAGGCTATACTGTACTTAAATCGGCCCTGAAACACTTTTTTAAATAACCATGGAATTAACTCACTGGAAGAGCTTATTGCCGCACAAGTTCAAGGCCGCAAGAATTTCAAGAATCCGTCCAGTACGAGTGAAGTTACAAATATTTGTCACATGCTGCAATCGCATTCTCTCCTCTCGTCCCGAGGAAAGTGCTGAAAGTTAAGCAGGGAGGGATGGGAGGGGCAAACAAAAAATGCCGCATTCACCTCCTGTCTTTGAGCACTTTTTGTTTGTTTGTTTTTTCTTTGAATACACGGCTTTTTCAGTGCAATCGCACGCGCATGCGTGGACAAGTGGCGGCCTCCTGCGGCGATCTCTGTAACGACCGAGCGCACCATGTTCAAATCAGCCGATGGCCGATAGATGGGCATTCTACGAGTGATTTTTGAGCGTCTTCCATCATCTGTCGACGGAAGAGAAAGCAATTTTCAGTTAACTTCGATCATTGTGAATTTCAGGCCGCATGCTGCGCTATAACATTCTACTACCAATTGGCAGCATTTTCTGACCATGCTCAAAAGGTGTTGCAGGGCCCCTTTAGTGTCACGTGAAGTTGTTTTGCATTCTGACGAATATTTCATGACTTATTACTACTTGAATTCAGCAATGTATGGCTGCACTTGTTCAGGCTTTACCGACAAGGGGGAAAAGCATTCCAAGTTGAAACTGAAATTTTCAGTATTCAAAGCAAGCCTTTCTCTGGGTTCCTATGAAGAGGAAATTGTCGTAAGTTAACGAGAAAATTTGTAGGACATCAGTGAATTTAGCTCATTTTCCTGCTTGCCAAGTTCGTGCAAATTCGCTTTTATTTTTTTATAGCTAATTCACAATAATTATCGCACATTACCAGGACCATGTCATGTCTTTTAATTACCAGTGCTCACTAACTTTACGAATTAGTGCTTGAAACAAGATTTTCAAGAAATAATAAATCTTGCAAACATGTTTTGGTGGTGGCGCCATCTGTGAAAAAAAGCATAAAGTTGTCTCATGTCAGTTCTGATGTTTGTCAAAAGTGACACTGCTAAACATGACTATGCCGCAGAAACACGTATGGGTCATTTCTCCAGACTTCAGTGTTTAGCCTAGTGGCTAAATCTAATCCCTACGTCTTCAATGCACAATGTATAAACCCAAGAGGCTGCTGGAAAAAAAAAGAATAAAAGAAAGGGAGTGACAAAAAGAAAGAAGAAAGTGTGTCAGATTCCTGACTAAAAAGCGGGGCTATTGTGTCGAGGATTTCAGGACTTGCTTGGTTGCTCGCCTTTGTAGCCAGGGGGACTGCAGAAGCATTTGGCAGTGTGTGTTCGACAATTTCACGTGACACTGGTTGGGCGATAATATAACAATGGACCTTTTTCGAGAGACTAGCCTGCGCATGCAAAGGGGTGGTGACATGATATGCGTAGTTTTTTTTGGGGGGGGGGGGGGGGGGTCATAAGGTTCAACAGCTTCTATAAACATTGCACAGGGTGGCGATGGACGCGAACTAAGAGGTACCTTGCATTATTTGCAAATCATTCCGAAAAATGCCAAGCTCGTGAGATTTTTTTACCGGTGCATGGCGGATAAGTTCGGAGGCCACAGACCAACAGTTTCGATTTCGGTGATCTCCATAGAGGTGCTGTTGAGACTTGAGAAAGGCCCATTGACAAGTTTGGAGATAGTTTGGGTAGTATAACTATTTCGTAAGCCATGAGTTTGTGTGCCATATTTTCCTGACTGCAGCGAAAAGTGTGGATGGCTGCGTAAGCTCTGGCATTCCCAGCAGCGCGCAGCAAAGGAAATGTCACATGTCCCAACGCCTTCTGAAGTTTGGAAGCATGATTTTCAATACATCGTCTTCTCGATAAAAGAAGTGCTTGCTAGCATAATGATTACACTCTCATAACGGTAACACATGTTGCGATTGATCGTTGTGTCCTCGAAAATCATTGATGTGACGTCACTTGCTTATTGTAGTGACCTAGCAAAAAGGTAGCAGAAATAAAGCTTAAGTGCAAGAAATAAACAAGACTGGCCCCATTTACCTCTAGCAAAGCTAAACTTAAGCAGCTAATTTGTTTGCTCATGTAGATCATGTTATATCTTATTTTCTAGGCACCCAGCCTTCACTGACTAAAGGCAACATAGCTAATTTACTATCACTGATGCCGGTGATACTATCTCAGTATCACCGGCATCGGCCACCATAAACACCTAGAAAATGAGACATTCGCAGGAAACGTAGACGCGCTCAAGCATGTTCAAACGTAGACGCGCTCAAGCAAGCTCAAGCAAGTGCTCCATGGGTGCAGTCATAAATATGAGCTGCCAATTCCCCCCCCCCTTCCCCCCCAATGACAAATGCGATACCAGGACTGGTTTTGCAGCTTCGACTGGCTAAGCCAAGAGCCTCAATCAGCTAGCCTGCTGTCAAGACACTGAAAATGGTAAAAGCACAAGGAGGGGGGGTGGCAATTTTAGGGGGGAAAAAACAAACAGTAATGCCTCGCTAATTCGAAGTCACTGGGGTTGCGAGAAATCTTCAAATTAGGAGGGTTTTTTAATTAATAGAACATATAAAAAATGGGAGGCAAGTAACTTGCAATTATTCTAAGTAATCAGGGCTGATGGTTTGCTGTGCTGGCTAGTTCTTGGCTCCAACGGTTGTTTTCCCACAATGCCTGGTCTTAATTTTTGCCGCAAAGCGGCACAATGCGGAGGAACAGCGGGCCTCGCTGCTGCCACTATTAAAAAAAAAAACTGCCGCCATATCCACAAAGTTAATGATGATGAGTGGGCGAAGCTCCGGAGGTAAACCTGGTAAACCATGAATACTCCGTACATTTTGCCCACTCGATTTTATTACAACGCTCCTGGCCGGATACATGGCTAATCCCACCAAACTGCTCTTTATTAAACTTTTTTACAATACCAAAAAGAATGGGTATATCATGACACACATTGACGTAGCCAGAAACATGTGATATGCTACCTGCGCGTCACTACTCTATTGCAGTGAAGAACATTTTTTTTTCGCAGGTACATGTATTAGTTGACCACAAGACTTTTTCTTTTCTTTTCTTTTTTTCACTGGAAGTTGTAGGGCTGGAGGGCTTAAGCTGCCACTCGTTAGTATCGCTACGGTACATTGCCTGATGGCTTCTAAACGCCGTCATTTCCACGGATTCGCACCAAATTCAGGATAGCGAATCCTCACATATGGCACCCAAAGTTTTCAAATTCACCGGACTGGTGCTGACTGCCGCTTCAAATTATCTGCTAAGACTTGGATCGCAGAATACGGGACCTCAGAAATATTTTGAATTGAGTGGGATTTTGAAATAACTGAGTTTCAATTAATGAGGTTTTACTGTAATTGGAATCTTGAAGAAAAAAAAAAGGGGGGCTGTGCACGAGTTTTCACAATAGTCATTCCATATGTTGGTGTTATGAGTATTCATATCGGTGAGCACTCGTAAAGCAACCATTTCGTGTGATTGCTTTGTATACCACACCACTGTGATGCGGTTCTGAAACAGGAATGAAAAGATTTGGTTTGAGGACATTCTTGGAAACATTTCGGCGTGCATACAATAGACAAAAAAAGCGCCCATTTGTCTTCTCGCCTTTTGTTTTTTCGCGTATTGTGTGCGTGCCGCAATTTTCTAAGAAAGTCATATAAACAAGGTTATGGTAGAGGTTTAGTGCCAGGGACCCCTAGCCGTTGGGGCTCTGCATACTTCTGTGCTCTTCCCATGTTTCTGCTGTTCAGCAGCTGTACCCGAGCAGTGTGGCAACTTTCTGCTAAGCTTCTTGTTGAGAGAGTAAAAGAAAAACCAAAGAAAGAAAAGGCAGGATCGACTGCTAAATGGTGAAAATTTTCTGGTCTGTGGTTGAGGCTGTTCGTTAAGCTAATGTAAAGCCCTTCCACATGTTTTTTGCCGGCTAGGTTACGTAAAGCCAACTATTCTCCCCCTGTTCCTTTACACCAGTCCTCCGACAAGCGGAAGCCGAGGTGCGGCCATGATGTTTCCGCTGCTTTTCCGGTTCGTAGACCCACCTCATATGCTATGCACCCCATGAGTAGGGTGAATTAGAGAAAGCTCATACCACTTGACGCACCCACCTCTCCCACCGCTCGACCCCGTTGGGCTGTATGGTGCGCAGCAGCCAGGTGGCATTCCTCACGAGCTTAAGATTAAACTCAAGACAATATTTGCAGTACAAAGAAGAAAATATTTACTTTTTCGCGTGTGCAGATACAAGGTGAAAGAAGAAAGCAGAAGGAGGTGGCTCAATAACTTCCTCTCGGAAGCTCTGGAACCGGAACTAGGTGGCACCAGTGGAACAACCGTGTCACTAGCAAAGAACCCAGGCGTAGCTCATGCAAGGTCAAAGAAGGTCGTCTTAAGAGAAAATTTCGGTTTCCAATCAGAAAAATACCAGGGGCAGAATTTGCAGGGGAAAAGTGTTTCAGAGGTGGATAGCTTGAATTTGACTTTGTTGGTGCCTGGCTACTTGCGTTCTCGCAGAAGAAAGATCACTAGAAAATTTCCTCGACGGGTGGGTGTTTTTTTTTTTTTTTACTCTTTTTAGCTCTGTGATGTGAGGGCCAAGATGCCCTGAAATTGTAGTAGCAACCATCTGATCAAAAGGCAATACTGATTTGTAGTCAACTCTGATATATTTAACTGTATCATTTGTTGGATGCAGAAGGTGTAACAAATCCCTCTCATTTGCAGTGTGAATTGTGCCGGTCAAGGCACTGAGCATGGAGGACCATCGCCATGCAACTCTCCTCTCTCCTCGACACCAGCGTCTCCTTACGAATCGCCGCCAACATCAGGCTCCAACTCGCGTGCCACATCGCCTTGGACTGGTACTGCTGTGACAAGGATGCATTGGGATGGTGCCCCGGCATCGGTTGAAGAGCTACTGCACCGAGCTCATCTCAAGAAATATTATCACATGTTTAAAAACTTTACACTCGATGATGTGAGTTTCTTTGAAACTAATAATTTTTTTTAGCAGAGTTGCTTCTTGGTTGGGCTAATTATGAAGCGTGTGACATCTCTAGCAGGAGAGTCGGATTTGTTATATGTACTGTTTCAGAGCCAAGCTGGCTTTAAAATAGACAATGAATGCTTCCTTTCATTGACATACCGTATTTACTCGGAAAATAGGCGCACTTTTTTTTTTCAGTAAATCCGGCTCCTAGTTTGGGGTGCACCTATTACACGGGTTAAAGTTTCAGAAAATTTTTTTTACAGTTACAGCGTATATTGCTGATAACATGAGCCACCGTAGTCACTAATATCAGCACTACAGTTAAAACAACCTTCTTCTATGCAAAACGTGCTGACCATGCAGTGTCGCATGTCCAAAAAAATCACATCGAAGGACCTGCGTTGCCTGCAAAATGAATTCTTAAAAAAAAAAGAAAGCTTCATCGCGGGAATTCGCCAATTATGTTTGAGACCACCTAGATTATGTGCATTAATCACAACCGAAATTTTGTGCACTGAACGGTACCAATCATTCGATTTCACGGGCTCGCACGTCATAACCAAGACATTGCAATCAAACTGGAACCGCCATTTGTGTTACAAGTGCCACCAATGGCCCCTTTTCTTTGAGTAGAGCCACCACAAAGAGTTGCGTTGATTCTGTACAGAAAAACACAGCTTCCATTGCCCGCCACCGCCACCAAAAAGCAACAAACACTGATTAAGCCTAGCTTACGGTTTGGCATGTTGTCGTGGTAAGTTAGTACAAGACATGAAGATTGGGTGTCGAAAAGATCGGATTCTAACTCCAATCCATGAGCAGCATGTGTGATACGATGCTTAGGTTTGCCGCCAGCAAATCTACGATGACAAAAGTCTGCCAAGCTTCTGCAAGTCCGCGTAGTGGCAGCAAAGTCGAAAGCTCGCGTCAGAAAGCGAAGAGTTTTTATATTTGTGGACGAGGTAGCAAACGTATTACTGAAGTTGCTTTTCTTGACAGGAAACTCAATGCGCACTTGACGAGAACGCGGTCGCGCGTTCCATGCGGAGCACGCGCGTTTGTGCAGTGGCCGTAGCCGCGAGCTGGTGCAGTGCTGTCGTGGTCTTTCTTTTCATTTTCCTCGCTTCAGTTAACATAAGAGGGCGTCAAATTGTAACCGGGGAAATAGGGTACAGAACTACTGATCACAGCCAAGTTCGGGGCGCACCTATCATATGCAGAAATAATAATCTTATTTCTCACGACCAAACTGGGGGTATGAGCCTGTTATGCTAGTGTGTCTAATATACGAGTAAATACGGTATAAGTATATACCAGTGAGGTCGCCGTGACTTTGTGGGGCATTGTAAAAGGTTATGCATGGGCTGTTTAATATGTGCTGATTACATATCGTCTACTTTCTATTGGTACTCTTACATCGGCCATCTTCTGCTTTACGACTGGTATGCTGATGATGAAAACATATAAGACTGTAAATATGATAATGCATTGCATCGGTCTTCAAATGACAGAAATTGCATTTTATATTTTTGCAGAATTGTTTTACACTTAAATTATGCTACCTGAAGTTTCATCTTAAATTATGCTACCTGAAGTTTGCTCAGTTTTTACCAGTCTAGGTAATTAATGGTAATATGTGCAGTATTCATCAATTGAAATGTGACGATTGGCCAGGCAAATGACCAGGCAGTGTGCATGCTTTAGTTTCCACTACTTTCAATTCATGTCATATTGGCATATTTTCTACTCCTATACACGCACTGCCGGCTGCAAAAGCTTGCAGGAAATGCAGCACATGGCCGAGTGATGAAAAACTGCATCACTGCATCACCTACCATGATGCAGCGGGTGTTGAGGCTATCGGCCTCAGCAATTAGCAATGGCACGTTTAGATAATGCATTGTTGCCGGATATTATCGCAGAAGCTGTGGTTGATATCCTCGACACCCTCCGTGTCATGGTAGGTGATGCAGTGATGCAAGTTTTTGTCATTCGGCCAAGTCCTGCTGATCGCGCAAAATTTTGTGGTCGAGAGTACATAGGAGTCAAACATTATCTGTTGTGGCCAAGTTCATAGTAGCATGATGTGGTTAGCTCAAGCAGCTGTGCATACATCTCGCTGTGCTAAAAAATTTGATGTTGCATTTCAATCTGAGTACTATAAATAGCGTAGGTTGGATGTCATTGGTGCATTTGTATGCTGTGTGCTATGTTTACAACAACCTTGGCATAATTTACTCTTGCTTAATATTTCAGGTGCTTGCCATGAATGAAGAGAGTATGAAGGCTAAGGGTCTTCCTGCCAGTTGTTCAAGGAGACTGCTCAAAGAAATTGCCTCTTTGAAGTAAGCAACCACCTATAAAAAAGTGCAATTTTCTAGGATCGACGCTCGCGCAGTTTGCATGTACAGTTAAACCTAGGTATAAGGAAATGGACAAAATCCCGGAAAAAATTTATGAAAAAAATTTCGTTATGTGAAGTTTTGGTATGAAAATTTGAAACATAAATGCGCAAATTAAAAACAAAAGAACTGAAGGCAGAGCTCCTCCAAAACACTTATTCAGCGGTAAAAACTGTGTTATTATGCGATAGTAAATATATGAGCATCTCTAATAGGGTTTTCCCATTGTCGCCATCTGCGAGAAGTACAAATTGATCTAATGCCCCCACGCATTGCAACTTTTACAAGTGGGTAAAAGTGCGCAAGCACTGCTGTAGCAGAGATCAAATGAGCCGGCCCATCCTTATCGCTTGCAGGGCATATACGATAACATTCCCCCGCATGTTAGAGCTGTCGTCGTATGCTCAAACGAAAAGGAAAGCACCCGTCTTGAACGAGCATGAAAAAAATGGCAAGGATGGGGTGGGTGGAGGGGGTGCTCGAGTAGCAACAGTGAACTTTGATTTTAAGGGTGCGGTCACGATCGCTGGCGTGCATGCTATCTCAGCAAGCAGCAGTCTACTTTCAATGCGAAAAGAATGTGTCAAAAGAGCACTTCTCCTTGGAGCAGCCGTATTTGCTTACACCAGCGTTTTGTAGGAATTTCATGATATTGGATCCAAAAGAGTTGACTGCTAGCATCACTTTGTATGGCATTACAATTTGCTGCTATCGCATTCATTGCATTGTATTCTAGGGGCCATTGTGTTGCCAGAGCTAGTCGGCTAATTGCGAAGGGGACGGTCCCACGAACTCGCGACACAAGACAGCAAAGCACATGATGAGTTGACCTTCAAATATCCGTCGTTACAGTGATCTCCGAGAGTTTCCACCAGTGCCTATTGTGACATCTCCTCAGTAGTAACGACACAGTTGTCCGCAAACACATACCGCGTTTCTCGCGGTATGTGTTTTCAGCTCTAATAGCTAGCGTGCATGGTTAGAATATACTATGAAGTGAACAAAACAAGTAGCACTCTCTGCTCAGCGTTGGCGTTTCACAGTGGCATCTCGAGCTGTTGCTGACAGCTGCCGACGCTGACAGCTGCCGACGCTGAAGCATCACATGGTGGAGGCTCCGGTTGCTAGGGGATCTTGACGGACGCCTGACATAGCCTAAGAAATGCAATCACATTTAAAAACAAAGCTAAACGTGATTAGGAGCCACTCCATGTGTGCACTGTGAGACCATACACGCGGGTACAGCGTCTAAAGCAGAGCAAATGACACGGCTACAGCGGAAAACTACTATTCAGTAAAGTGCTGTCCATATGCAGCGCTGCTCCACATATGTGATGCTAACTAAAAGCATAACGCGAAATGGCATCACCTGTGTCACTTCAGTGCAGTTCAGACTTCTGCAGCGATTGAAGAGTGGCACTGCCAACACACCCCTTTTTTTGATGGAGGAAGAGGGCTTATCCGCACATGCGCCCAGGGCATCAAGAATGGCGGCAACACTGGCTTAAGGGGTGCAGGCCTTCCTGCCCACCTCGCACACACTTGCGCACAATAACGAGCGCTCGCTCTCGCCTGGAAGCCGCTGAGACCACGAGCGCGCCATGCGTGCCTCTGCCTACCGCAAGAGATGCATGCTCGGACCAAAATGACAAAATCTGGGACAAAATTTCTAGATAGTCTATGGCGAAAAATTATATCGAGGATGTCTCCTGCGTTACGTTGTTACACAGAGGTCGCAAATGGAGTAACGGCGGGAAATAGAAAAACTTTGTAATATCGAGGAATTCGTTATGTGGAAGCTCGTCATAGGCAGGCTTAACCGTACTCACTAAGAGGTGGAGCATGTATGTGTAGGGGTTCCATGTGTTGTGTATGGTTAATTCTGGTGTCATATGCAATTGCTGAGGCCACATTGCAGGCCAACTGACATTACCCCACAAACAGGCATACAGTAATACCTCGTTAACTCGGAGTTGTAAAAAACCAAGGAAAATTTCTAGATAAGCGAAGCTGCACAAATCGCCAGGAAAAATAACTTTTTAGCAAAATTACTTCTACTTACCGGCTCATCAGCAGCAGTTTCTAATGTATCTTCTCATTGAAGTTTAAAAGACACAAGAGACGTTAACCAGCTGGATTTTGTAGCACTGCCATTTTATTTAGGGGAAAAAAACTCCCAAATGCCACACCATCTTTGCTGCTTCAACGTCCGAGAACTTCGAGCCTCGAACCCGCTTCCATTGGCTGGAGAAGCTCTGCTGATATTCATCGAGCACCTTCTGTTTGTTCTTCAGCACCGTCGAAAGCGTAGACAAATGGATGCCAAACTCCTGCGCATTGGTTGACTTTGTTCGGCCTCCTTTCTCCACTTCTTTAACTATGACAACCTTCCTTTAGCATTAGTGACTTGCACTGCTTTTATGACGCCATGCTTGCCACACTCGCGCTAAGTCGCTGCTCCTCTAAGTCAGTGTTAAATTTGTACCACGTGCGTTGTGCAGATTGAACGCAAGTTAAACCTTAGAAAAAGAGCACTGCCAAACCAACGAGAAAAACGACGTGACTACGCCAAGCGTGGGGCAAAGAGCAAGGCCTGCTGCGTGGGAGTCGCATGATGTGCCACGGGGTTGCTCAACAAAGTGCCACTATGCCACTATGCCACTATGCTCAAACATCACGTTCGTGGAAAGTATCGATGTAGCGGCAGGCGCAGCTAAAAAAATAAAAAAGTAAAAATTTGATGGATTTCAGGCATAGGAGCATTGTGCGAATCTTGTATAATGGCCCGGTGGCGGGATTTTTGTTCCACTCCCACTCAAGATTTTGAGATATCCGCAATCCGATCCAGAAATACTTCGAGATAAAAGGAAAAAATTACATGGGACGTAACCGCGGCAACGGTTGGCACCGGTGCCGCGGAAAATTTCGACTTAGCCGATTTTTTTTTTTTATATATGAGAGTTCGAGTTGACGAGGTATTACTGTACTAAGTGGCAGAGCCCATGAAATCGAACGATGCACTCGAGTACTGAAAGTTCGATTATACGTCCCCCGATTTCAGGACGACCTGCATTTTACAACGAATCGGTTTGGTCCTGGCAAAATTCTTATCGAAATCATGTATTAAATACCTCGGTTGTACGACGCAGCTTTATGAGCACTTTCAAATCCCGTCTGAAAGAAAAAATTAATTTCCTCGAATCAAACGTCAGCCACATATTCAAAAGCGCAAAATATGAACCTGCGTTTCCCTAGGTTGACTTACTAGAAAAAGTACAGTGAGACTGGATGTTTTTTTTTTTTTTTAATGAAAAATTTATTCTCCTGGAAGTTCACGCGATTCTACTTGCGCCTCCTTAGTGTGCATACGTATCCAGGGTCGATATTTTGTCAAGCTCCGTCTATACAGAGTAGCTTCAGCCAGTCGGAAAGCTGATATTTTTGTTTTTCGGTCCGTTGAAAACTTTTTCTGGTCCACATACAGCTGATCTCCTCTCTTTGTCGCACTCGCAGTCACAGGCTGCTGCACACGTAAGGGCGCAACGCAGCTGTTTTCACCGTGCAAAATCGCGTTCACGTGACGTCAACGTTCATAATAACAGCGGGACATCACTAGTTGCACTTCACAAGCCAACAAATTACAACGTGCACAGCTCAGTCACACATGAAGACATTCTTAGCAAACTTTCGGTCCGTAGCCACTATGTGATAGCAATGACACTGTGTCTGATCCTTCTGACGGGAGGCTGTTGCCAACACGGTTTCATTTCAACCGCAGGCAATTCTCGAATTCTGCTTAATGGTAGAAAAATAAACGGAGTCAATATTTTTGAAGTAGAGAATAAATGTTCACTTGCTCCTCCTCCAACTATGTAATGCTGCCATTAACTGCCACTGGCAAGACTAATTTAATAAGCAATCTTCTTTGCAGAAGCACAAGGTCATGCAGTGGGCTTTTTCTTTATGCTTGTTCAATACGGGTGGTTTCCTTTCTGTTTGAGCATTCGACGGCAGTTCTAACGCACGGGGGGGATGTTATCGTATGTGCCCTCCAGGCGATAGAGATGAGCTGGCTCATTTGATCTCTGCTTCAGCAGTGCTCGCACGCTTTTACCCACTCGTGAAAGTTAGGATGCGTGGGGGCATGTTATCAGGACTTGTTTCGAAACATAGCGGTAACGGAAATATCTGCCAAGAGTGTTTTGGGTTAACTCTTCGTTCAGTTCTCCTTTTGTTAAATTTGTGTATTTATTTTTTTTATACTGAACCTGCGTAAAACGAAATTCTCTTTATAACAAATTTTTCTGGCAATTCGTCAATTTCATTATATCCATATTTAACTGTAGTCATATACGTGGCAAGTCAGGACTAAGAAAAAAGTTTTTTCTGAGAGTGCGTGGTCTTTCATACGCTCTCCTCCAAGTCTGAATTTCTAGACCTCCATTGGTGTGGTGAATGTGCTAAGTAAAATCTAGGAATCATTTCTACAGTGGTTTAGTATTGCTGAATGTGAGAGTAATTATGTGAAACGAAGGGTGCTTTGGTGGAACTTGTATGTGCTGCGAAACAGATTTCAATTCACACCACGCACTCGTGTGCAGTAATTCTACGAGATATGCAAGCCCGATAAATGTCCACCTGATGCTTTTGTATGCAGGAGCCACACCAATGGACTGCTAAGCAGCCGTGCTGTGAATGCTGGGACAGCAGCTGCTTTTAGCCATGCTAGTGGGGAGAGTTCTACCACATCCTGCTCATCCGAGTGTTCCAGCCCTTCTCCACCACCTGCGCTCAGAGCCGTCCGCGCACAGAGCCCAGCCAGTTCCGGCTCAGATGACAGCACACAACCATCACCAGGTAATAAAAAGCATATACAGTCGAGCCCGCTTATAACGAACCTGAGCGTGACGCGGCATCCATTCGCTGTATCCTGGAGTTCGTAGTAAATGAAACACAGCTTTTTAATAAAGTTGCGAGTGAAAACACAAACTTTTTTTGCCCCAAAAAGCCCGTGATGCACGTGTTTCAAAGAGCAGATGCGATAAGGGCGGTCTCGAGTTCATTTAAAATGGCAGGGTGCTCGTCCGCCAAGGCCCGTGGCATAAGCTGCGTGAGGCACTGGCTCCAAAGTTTTGTCATTCTCGCAATCCGATTCCTCCAAATCGCTCTCGCCACGTACTTCATTCGCAATGCCCCAATCTGTGCACGGTTCTGCAGTGTCGGCATCACCATCGGCCGTAATTAAACCATTGCGACAGATGTCCCACCCGCTCTCCCAGGTCAGAAGGGAGTCGACGACGCGCTGCCACAAATCGCCGCCTCAGTGGTCCTGTTCGGAAGCTTCAAGCTCGGCATCGGGCCCGACATCAACGAAGTCGGCCTCGCGAAAAAAGTTTCGCGCGCATATAGCTGTCAACGCCGCCCACGAAATAATCACCATCTCCACAGCTGAATACCCAGACGCTCGAAGCGGCAAGTTGGCTGCCAGGTGGTCAACAGCTATGAGCAAGCGCTCTGCAACGCGGCACCTAACGCGCGGATAACGCTCAAGCCAAGTCACACTTTCGACGTTTTGTTGAGCGACAGGAAAAAGCGTGCTAGTCCTCCCGTCGGCCATCATGACCACACAAAGAGCGAGCAAGACACGCACAAGACATGTGTCATGCACACGCGAAACACATACCAAAACGCTCAGGGCCCGTTTCCAGTCAGAAATCGAAACTAATTCGAGCCAGCGTGGCAGGCGTCGCAGAGCGGTAGAGACGGGCGAAGCGGTTGTGATCAAGAGAGGAGAGCAGACTTGCGAGAGAAGGGCAAGGAGTTGCGATAAAGAGAGGGGAGGTTGCGGCGGAGGGCAACCTTGAAAACCAAAACACACGGGAAGGAGGCAGGTTGGGTAGCTTGCTTGAAAGGTACGTGAAACTTGCACGTAGGAAAACTTGGAAAGAGTGCCTGCACGCGCAGAAGTCAAAGCATGGCCACCTGTATCGGTGCGCGCGGCGGTGTTCGAAGAATCGGCGGCCGTGGTCAATAAATCGTTTTGTTGCGCCAGTGGGTTTGCGTGGCCTCACGAACTTCGATATTTCGGGATTCATTGCGCGCATATTAACAGCCGTTTTCGCGCTTCCACACGTGCGCGGAAGGCATGCTGAGTTGAGTGCAAAGGGAGCGAGAACAAGTCCTAAACACGAAACGAATTGCAAATTAAAAGAGTTGGTGGGGTAGCATACGCGCATGCACTAGACGCAGACTATTGAATATAGTCGGTGGCCGACAATGTTGGCAAATGGTCTGTTCACTCCAGGCCGGCGACGCCAATGACAGTACCAGCGACAGTACCAGCCGACCGGTCTTCGAAAGATCGGTGGCAGTGTGAAAACACGGGCCTCGTCTGGCAATGCGGGGTGCTCAGAGTAGCGGGGGGACAAAGGACAGAAGGGTGCTTTACAAAAGGCAGTCGGGGCATGAAGGAAGGAAACAGCATGGTTGGGGAGAGCTGCAACTAGAGGGTCGTGGAGGCAGGGTCGGCGTTTAAAATAAGAATGTATGGGCACTTCACCGATTCCTGATCGGTGGTCGAAATTAGTTTCCCGGGAAGTCGGCAGACCGCTGACTCCGTTCGCTGTAACCAATAAGCAGCGCTAGGAGACGTTCGTTGTAAGTGCGATTTTGTGCCATTGAACCAATGTATATTTTCACGGTCATGCGAATATCGTTCATTTTAAGCGTAAGTTCGTTTTAAGTGAGGCCATTATATGTGGGCTCGACTGTATTGTTCGGCTGAAAGGATGGTTCAACTGATAAAGTTAAAGCCCTTTATAAGAGACATACTCCCGCGAGCGATTCGTGCCTCTTACACGAGGTCTCTTTTAAGCAGGGTATTCTGTATGCATTTTATATCAACCCTTATTTCAATGTGGGCACTTTAGTGTTTTATACCCTACTGTCTGTTATATCAGCATTTCTCATAAAGGGGTTTGATTGTTGTTGTACCAATATATGAAGGGACACTAAAGAGTGAAAGAGTGATACATGTTTTCTCACATTAGTAAATTATTCTGTCACCGGTGCTGCTCAAAATTTTGTTTGGCCTTGTTCTTAGTCACGTTCCGCTGGAACAAAATAGTCATTCCTTCCTTGTTAACCCGTGCAGAATGCGATTTTAGCTACCTTTGCTGCAGTACACCAGTGCCCTATGGATAAGTGCGTTATGATTTGGAAGGGGCTGTTAGCACTAGTCATGAAACACGGCACATTTTGTTCACTTATTCATGCAGATATGCACTACATATAATCTAGAGTGCTAGTACTATAATAGCTGACGTTTAATAAAAGTTACTGGCAATCATTTTGAGCACTAAATGATATTTCTGCTGCTTTTAAAAAAATTGTGCTCCAGTAATTTTTTTCGCCACCCTTACTTCTTGGTTTTCCAATTCTCCCGAATTTCAGGGTTGCCAGATTGGCAGAGCCTCATTTGAATTCAGTCTGTCAAAGGACTTAAGGGGTGTGACAAATGCTAATGTGGTCTTCATCACTGTTTGCTTAGTGGGGTCGCTCAAAGCACTACTTTCGGATGAACAATCGATGAGGGCAGAGTGACTGGTCAAGAAATAAATGCCAAGATTAATATCGCGTGGGCAAGTGGCAAGAACAGCAAAGAGTACTGAAGTTTGGTGGCCGGCAACAGTAACATGAGCAGTGCACATACCAAGGACTGATGTTCGGTTTCCGTTAGCTACACGCACTGTTGCAAACACAGCAGGTGTAAGGACCTTCTTGAGGCGGCATCGAAGCTAGAACTCATCACAGATAAATGAGCGCCAGTGTTTATCAGTGCTGTAACGGCCAGGCCATCGATGAAGACTGCAAGTAAATTTCGTTTTGGATCAGGGGTCGGTAGAGGGTTTCGGGAGCTCGTCGTCAGTGCAGCGCCATCTCCAGGAGCTGCACTTGTTAGTTTTCTGGGAGGTGGCTAGAATGAGCCGGCGACAGAGAGCGATTGCACTGAGGAGAGCGTGATTGGCGACCCTGAGGTGACGGCGACCGGCTGGAGAAGTTCCTCTGAGCGCCGATGTCCGCGTAAGTGGGTTGAGATCGAGTAAATGAGCGACGTGGTGGAATGTTCTGAAGGGTTGCCCTGTTGTCTGGCATTCTGTGTGCCCTGTGCACTGTGATTCCGCTCTCCTACGGACTCACAACCCCTAAATAAATACTCCCTGTAACAATATCAAGCGTGCAATGAACCTCAATGAGCGAATCGTGCCACAAGATTTAACATGGATGCCTGTTATACAAAGGTGCCCCCAGTGTTAGTGCATACTTTTGTGGTAATTTAATTACAGTGTTTTTACTATCCATCAGATCTCATTTGTTTTGGTTCATTGCACAGGCCCAAGCTTCTTATATGTGCCTGCAAAAAATTAAATTTTTTTATCAAGCGGAACTTGAGTTAGGAATGTTCATGTAAGACATACATTTAATGAAATTTTTAATTATGCAAAATAACATGAAAGATGACTTGCTATACAACGCTCACATGTGCCTAAAAAGATGTGCAAACTAATAATTTCTAGTGTATATTGCTTTTTAAAAAGTTTTCCCGTCATTTGGCCTCATACCTTAACACCCGCTATCACTCTAATGCTAAACTATTACCTCACAATAAATGAAAAGTGTAAAGTAAGGGCATGCACCTGTCTCTTCATGTGGCGTAACGTAGACTGCTGACAATGTAAGGCACCAGGGTTATGATTTTCCTCACTGCAAGCAGTACCACTCTATAGAAAAAGAGCATTTTTTAAAGGCTGCGCATATGTAAAACATGGACAGCCCCACAATACCGAGCATCAAAGTGTGTCTGGGATGTAAATTTTCATCCGCCTAAATTTTCAAAATGTTAAAAAATAAATGCCAGTGCGCCGGAAGTACAGATAAAATGAACGTAGGGATAAAGAAAGGGCTGTAGCAGAATAGTTGCCAACCAAGTTTTTCAGTCCTCTTTATTTATGTTGACTTCCCCTCAGACCACACTGCGCAGGAACTGTGTAAATTTCGCATGTTTTTGCTTTTCCAAGTGCTTGCACGATATAACCACATGAGTGTTGCACACATGCTATGCACGTCCTTATTTTGTCGGCCTGAGTGTCGGCCTGGTGAGGCGAAAGCTCCGATCCAATCATGCTTCGAAAAATGGCATCATCTGAGCTGGGTGACCGTGAGACTGCGCTTCGATCAGGAGCAGATACAGGGACAACACTGACATCGTCCTCTGTTATGGCAGTTAGCTGGGCTAGAGACATCTAGCAGGACAACACTTGTGGGGTGAAACCAAAGTTAAGGAGCAAAAGGAACACACAGTCTTCCACTATGGTCGCGATGGTACGAGGCACAGTAACACTGCGCGTCAGCCGAACGTCAGTAATCGGCGTAACGATATAATCACCGTCAGGAGCAGGAGGGGCCGATGAGAAAGACACGTACGTGACGGCACGAGGTGGCAGGCGAATGAGTGGTTAGGCTCAAGCGGCTGGTGGGCTTTGCAGAGTAGCCGGCAAAGATTAGAAGATTGAGGCTGAGGGTACCAGACGAACAGTCAATTAAGGTCGAGTGTGTCGAAAGGAAATCAAGGCCAAGTATGAGGTCATGAGGGCAACAGGCTAGCATGGCAAAAAGGACCACGGCGTGACAACTGGCAATGCTTACACGAGCAGTGCACATTCCGATAACTGGTGCAGTACCACCATCGGTGACACGTATTGCCTACGTCGTAGACGGTGTCATAATCTTTTGCAAGCGGCGGTGTAGAGAAGCGCTCATAATAGACAGGTGCGTACCTGTGTCAATGAGGGTGGTGACAGGAACATGGTCGACTTGTACTTCAAGCATGCTGTGGTGCGTGGGAAACGTCGGTAGAGAATTTTCGGCCGTCATTGGTATTGCAGCTTCACCTCTATGAGCTGCAATATCTAGTTTTCCTGCTGCGATCATCCAGAGAAGCTCGAAGAGAAAAAGAGCCGAGGCGGCGGAGAGTGGGATTGGCGACGTAGCGGCGACGGGGAGCGCGAGCTGCGGCGACCGGGCAAAGGGGTTTCAGTGGAAGGCTCGTGAGATGAGGACGAATAGAAATCGAAGGGTGTGGCGGCTGAACGTCGAGGGGTCGTCGGGTGTATGTCCGCAGAGGTAGAGAAGGTCTGACGTGGTTGGTTTGACCAGCGGCGGCGGCAATAGCGAGAAACGTGCCCAGGCTGGTGGCAGGAAAAACAAATAGGCCGGTCGTCGGGTGTTCACCATTCCGAAGGGTTACAGAAGGGCATTGTTGGAGGTAAACGGCGAGCGTGTCCTGGGGAGTAAGACGGGACTTCAGGGCGAGTCAAGGGACATGCTGATGGAAGGCCAAGGTTCACAAACTCCTGCCTCACCAGAGCTTGTATTAACGCCACTGATGACTGTTGTTGGTCAGAGATGAGCGTTGCGAAAACTGCTGGCTCATGAGGAGCCGGACAGGCGGCTTCGATTTCCCGACGAACAATACGCGTGACGTTATACGTGGGGGACTGGCGGGCGGCTTCACACGATGAGGTTGCGGCCGTGTTGGGCAGCCGGGTGAATCGCTGAGTAATACAGCGGCTCTTGGCTTCTTCGAACAGCCGGCACTCTTTAATGATGGCATCGACCGTGGCAACGTTATTGTACACTAGAAGATTAAAGGCGTCATCTGCTACGCCTTTCAGCATATGGGCCACTTTCTCAGATTCACTTATGTGCTCGTCAATCTGGCGGCATAGGGCGATGATGTCGTGAATGTACGCAACGTACGACTTTGTCGATGTCTGTGCACAAGCCGCCAGTTGATTACGCGCTGCGATCTGCCGCCCAACGGTGTCGCCAAAAAGTTCATGGATCTTCTTTTTAAAGGAATCCCAGCTTGTAATATCCGCTTCGTGGGTCAAACCACACCCGCGGTGGGCCATCGAGGTAGAAAAGCACATTGGCAAGCATAAGAGTCGAGCCCCGCCTATATCTTGCGCTAACCCGTTCGTACCGGTTGATCTATTTGTCGACGTCAACGCCATTCTGACCGGAAAAATACACCGGGATCACGAGCAGGAGGTAGAATGACATACGTTGAAGTCACGAAAGGGGAAGGCGGTGAAGACGATGGTTGTTCAACCTGTAACATGGTTGGACCTATGATGACGCGGCCATTGCGGAGCTTTGTGATGAAGACAGAGATGTACCCCGCACCTCCACCACAAAGATGTTATGTAAAAATGACGCGAGGCGTGTCTATTCAGAATCTATATTCACACTGATGTGTATAGCATTGACTAAGATGGAGACAGCACGCACAACCGACATAACACTTCCTCGTTGTCATCTTCTGACCACCGATATGTCAGCTACGTAGCAATATCTCCTGAACAGGTGTGTGGATAACATGGTGTTTCAAGGGAACCATGCTTATAGTCTGCCGAGTGCAGGTCGCTTGTTAGCTGTTTTCGCACTCACCCCTTACACATTTGAAATATAGGAAGTGCCATTATCCTGGTGACATAACATTCCCGCCTGTCTTCTTCTTTACCCAATGTTTGATAAAGTGCAGAAAAGGCTAAAGGTTTGATGTCAAAATATAATATTAATGCAATGTTTATTTTGTTCTCTATAGCATCTAAATTCACTAAATAGTTTTGAGCCTCTGAGTGATTGAGAAGGAGCTATCATCAGTTCTTTCAGCTTTCAACTTTACCGTGTGAATAACTTGTATGTGGGAAAATGAAAAATCCCTGGAACATGCATGCTTGTCTTCAAGGCTGGAACTCGAGTTGCAGCCTTGAAGTGGCAGCTTTCAAGTTGCAGCTTGAACTCGAGTTGCAGCCTTGAAGTGGCAGCTTTCAAGTTGCAGCTTGAGCAGCAGCCTTGAAAAAGACAAGTCTGGTGGTCGATACATTGGCTGTTGCGACACCCTGTGTTTCAAGCATTTTGCATTCCGTCGAGATACTATCTCCCCTGCACTTTAATGTCATTCTTACGTGGAAGGAACATTATCTAGCCTTGCAACTAGAACGGTTCTCTTGCATATTTTTTTTTTATGAGACAGTTTTCCTGTTCTAATTATTCTTTTATCTGCTCCAAAAAGTTTAACAAATGCAATCCGAACTGTCCCATCCTTTAGTCCTTTGTGTAACTTTGAGGATCGCTCGAAGCATGGCTCTTTCAGGAGAAATGAACATGCCGTCTCCAATCAGCACATAGCTTTCAATTTAAACCGTTTCTGTGCTACAGAGCTGTTTCGTGCTTTGCAGATGGGATCTTCACAGAATAATCTACCTACCTTGCTTGTTACAACGCCCAAGCCAAGTGAGGGGCACAGCTTAGGTTAGGTTAGGTTTTTTCCCCATTTTAACACCTGTTTCATTTTTCAACTTTATGGGCTGTTCACAAATTACCAATTCAGATGTGAGTATCTCTCCTAATTACCTTTGTCACAAATTTCGTTGCGATCTCTTTAGTCAGGTCAGCCAGTGAACGTAAGGCAAGTTTACCGTGGAGTCTGCTGGGAAGTTTTATTGTTACAACAGCATTGAGAAAGCAAATATTCTTTGCTGACTAAGGAAATTGTATGGGCCGTAGTGTGAATGGGAATAGCTTTGTTCACAGCTATGATGCTTTAAACAATGTCAACATGAGCTATGCCTGACAATTTGAATGATAAATGGTCATGATGCTGAAATCTTCAATTATCGATACAGCTTACAGTCATGCTTTGGGGACATTACCCGAGCAGGCCTGAAAATTAAGTTGGTTGTTTAACCATAGTTATTATTGTATTAGTTGCACAATGCCGGTCTCCTTTTCACAGGTAGCTCCTATGGTCCAGGTGTTACGAAATGGCCTGCTGCTTGTGAAGTCACTGAAGCTACTGCTGCCAGTGTGATACCTCCTGAAGCTGCTCGCTTGGGAAGCCAGCCACCATCAGTAATGCCCCTTAGGTACCCACCCCCCCCTGGCTCTGTCCTGGTGGAGCCTCAGCACCGGTTTTTGTTGCTCACTGATCGGCCAACCTATGGCCCATCTCGTGCGCCAGTGCGTCCCTTGGCACCTGTCGTGAAGACTGCCACAGATGGCGTCTCCCATAGTAACCCTGCAGTGACAACCTCAGCAACCTTCGGGCCTATGTACAGTGTGGGAATCATGCCCGCAGGCGTGTTTCCACAGCACTCATTTCCCCCGTTCCTGCATGCGGGCCACCAAAGCAATGGCTACTTGTCATTCCTGTCAGGTGCGGGTTATGTGGCCCCACCCACAACGGCAGCAGCCTATGTTCCCCTAGCCACGTTTGGTGGGCCCTCTGTGGTGGTTCCTCCTCCCCCCACCAGTGCCAAGGTGGCCAGCTGCTACAACTGTGGCATGGTTGGTCATCGAGGCCATGAGTGCAAAGAAGCCACAGTGGAAGAGGCCACCAAGGCCCGTAAGTACACAGCTGGAAGCTCATGTGCAGTCTTGTGCTCACAGTGCCACTTTTTTTTTTTATGCAGCCCAGTTCCGACTGCACTTTGCACCTGCTGGAGCACCTCCTGAGGCGCAGCCATAAATCCAGCTTTAAATATACCTGTGTACATATGCCCCAACTCCTAGCTCGGTACAGGAAGGACTGTCATGACAACTGCTGTGCAGTGGCAACCAGCCAGTCTCCCCATTCATCGTCTAGTACAAACTGTGGACTAGTTCACTTTGTGTTCAGCATGCTTTGCTGCCTTTCCACAGGATCCCATTCCGTGCTCTGCCAAGTTGCTTAATGCTGCTACAGGGAGACATTGGCGAGCTGCACTAGTCTACTGAAGTCTTCGGCGTATTTCCAGCAGCGCTTGTTCGGCGTATTTCCAGCAACGCTTGTTTCATGCCCAGTATTTTATGCTAGCAGCCATTTTTAGCTACTATTTAAAAGCTTTCACCCTCGGTTGCCTGGCTTAATGGGCTCTGCAGTGTCAGTGTTTTTGTCAGCTGTGGACACTGCATTTTTAGCTTCAAGTTTCTAGGTTAGCCCGTTATACTTTTATTGTCACAAGTCTCGCCATCATTTCATCAGCCAAATTTTGACCCCCTTTAGTTGCAGGATATTTTCCTGTATTGTGTCCTCTTCTCTGCATTGCCAGTGAATGATTGGGGGGACTGGGTGGTTTGTCATCTTGAACATGTGATGAGAATTACTTAAAAAAAATACCACTCAGCCAAAGACATGTTGAATCGTCACATCGGACTGTGCCCACTGGAGAAATACCTTTTTGATGCTGCAGTGCCCATACTCTACATCTGCATCTCTTCTCCTTCACTATTTTTCACTTGCCTCCTGTTTTGGCTCGCAAGTGTCATTCTGGATTTCTTTTGCGCTTGTTGGTGTTTGTCTAGTCAGGCGTTTCCATTGATAACATCAAAAGCATTCCCAGTTTTATCACTGGTATGTTGCAGTCTGATCAAATGTTTTTGTAAGCAAGAAGTGCTGTGAAGCAAGAACTGAGACACCTACTACCGACCACCACACCTTTGATTTTTTTGGGCTATTTAGCACTTCAAACCGAGAGGCGCTCTCGTCAGCGAAATGTGCAAAGAAAAATACGTAAGCAGCAGATATGCTTGCACTGCGCTTGAGTGGGATGCTGCCTGTCTCGACGAACGCAAAGCCACAACTCATCTTGTGGACTAGTTCTTGTATGTTTTGGATGTGCTCGTGTGGCCGGCATTGTTTTTCTGCCATATTGCACTATTCCAATGTTAGTGACACCAGTGATGCGTATCTGCTAGTGTAGCCCACATTGACTACGTGACTCTACCATCTGAACACCGGGTGCTCTCTGGACTTGAGCTGTCTTTTGTGAAATGTTTCAAGCACTAGACCTGTTGTAAATCCTCAGCTTAGCGTTGCCACGCTAAATGGTGAATGCTGAAGGTACAGTCATGTTGCCTTTGTAAATGGTGTTATTTTTGCACATTTTGAAGTGATGACACTGTAGTGTGCCAAAGGCATAAGAGCAATGTCGAAAATTAGGAACACTTAATTGGCTGTTCTTTGGCACTTTATTTTGAGGTAAAAAGTTGAAAGTTCTGTGACCATACATGCCTTGTGTTTGTTTTTCATTTGTTTGATGTGTTTCCAAATCTGCAGCTCTCACTGATGCGGTAGACAATGCTTCGCTATGATTAGATGTGCTACCTGAGCATACATATCATAGTTGCTTTTGCTGTTGAAGCTTACTGTAGTTCCAGTTGAGCAGGCATGTTTTCTGGTCTCACTTGGAGTTTAGTTAATGGTACTGTCAAGTGCTTCATGCAAGATATGTTGCAATGTTCTTGCCAGGAAAACAATTAAAAAAGATGCCTATCTGCTTGTGAGTTCTGCTGCTACTCCCTCAGTGAGTTGATTGTGTATGTGTGCTTTTCCAATTTGTTGTGTGGAGTTTGTGGTTTTATTTTTTTTTAAGCTCAATACTTGAATTTAACATATTTCATTAAGCACAATTGACATCTATAGGGTTCTAGTGGCCACAAAATAACTCTGCGGACTGTTTTGACATCACTGTTGGTATAATGGAGGGAATTGAATCGCTGAGAATGTGTTGATTGCAGTCACATGTCCATCTACTCCTTGCCCTGTGATCAGAATTATACATGTCCTTGACAGTCATTCACCCCTTGGCAAGCCCACTGTACAACCTAGAGTTCATCTGCTCAATTTTTTTTTCTCTCAGAATATGCAGGCTTCCATGGGGCATTACTTGTTTGAGTGAGTATTCTGAAATGTTTTTTTTTTTTTTTTCACTAATGTGCTATTATTGGACTTAATGGCTGCCTACGTCCCTTCCTTTCCTCTTCCAGGAAATATTTTTTCCTGAATACTAGTACAGCACCAGGAACAACTGAAGGAGTCTTGTTTGTAGTCGGTCCAGCTAGTGTCTTCCTTTCACTTATATAGTAACAAGTAATTGGGCTTTCATTATTTTTCATGGCATAAAATACCAATCTACTGCTAAGAGTGAAAAATCTTTGAACAGGGAACGTGCTCCTGCTCTGCAAAACACTGAACCTCCATTTGTCACGCCAAAGTTTCTATCTACAATACTTCCTTTTTCAAGGGCATAGCCAGAAATGTTTTTGGAGGTGAGGCGGTTCAACTGTTCTCTGTGTATGTTCATGCGTGCTTTTGTATGTTTGTATGTGTCCTGGTATATACACAAGCAAAATTAAAATTCTGTAGGAAAGTGAGTGGACACCCCCCCATGGCTACATCGCTGCCCTCCTTCCCTTCTTTACACACACCTCTTTCCTTTTTTCCTCATTTTTGAGGTTTAGAGACATTGAGCAAAGGGTATAAGAACATGTTGCGAGAAAGCAAGTTGCTGCTCTGGCAATGACAAGTCCTTTTATCGAAAACATTTAACTCGAGTAGTATACACTGTTTGATATTTTATCGCTTAAAGCCTCCGCCTTTCTCTGAACTTCTGTCTCGAATCAATTTTGTTTGCTACTAGTGATATACGGGGTGTCTTGAGTTCTTGAAAATGTTTGCCAGGAGAAAGATGCTGTATTTTCTTAATTACTGGCAAACATTAAAGGGACATTGAAGTCAAATAATTTACATCAGAGTGAAAGCTCAATGTATGACAACATCTAAAACGACAATAATAACAGTGCCCTACTTACCGAAAAATTAAAGTAAATGCACAAGAACACAAGCGTCGATCTAACGGCCCTAAATAAAGAACGTTCCGTGCATTAAGAGACGCAATAAAATGCTGTTTGTTCGTTTATTTGATTCATGGAAAAAATAACCGCTGGACGTTACTATGGTGAATGGCACAAGTGGTTCGAAAATTTAATTTTCGCGTGGTTACACAGAACAGGTGGTGCCATCTAGCGGGGCGCAGTTAAAACAAGTGTCTGCGATCTCGAAGCCATTGGTGAGGAAATTGATCAATGGCCGTTGCTACTGCTGTGGCTCCCGCTGCTTTTGGTCTGCTGCTACTAGTGCAGTAAAGCCCGCCAACGTTGTGCATGGCAACAGTGTTGTGAGAGGGTCCGGTCGGTCCGCTTCATGAGGCGGGTAATTTGAAGTGTGCTAACCCGATACGGAGCACTAAAAGGTGATTTTATTTCAAAATAAACTCTTCCTTGGCACAAAAGTAACACTACGAGGTTTCTGGACAGCCATTTCAACAATCAACGTCGACCTAATAGTTGACTTAATGTCCCTTTAAGTTGGTGATAGAAAATGACCTATTGGCTTGTAGGATGTAAACAAGCATGGTGAGAACACATTTTTCTTTGTTCAGTTTTGATGCCTACAGTTCCCTGTTTCAATTGACCCTGCCTGAATTCAGCTTGTGCTGCGCATAAATGGTGAATTATGTACCTTGTGTTGGTGCGTATAATAGACTACAGGACACATTGTAGTAACAGTAGTGGAAGCAATTGTGGCAACGCTTAATTGAACATCTCAACATTTCAGTGAGAACTAGCTTCACTTGGCGACTAGTGAAAAACAGCTGAGACGTCAAGTGCACTCATTCTCAGTCAATACTGCAGCTGAAAGGCTGTTGAGGCTACGAATGCTATTTTCTCATTATAGCATTATGCTGGTACATGATTGTGAAGCAACAAGGTAAAACTGCATAGCCAGTATGTGGAGCATAAGTGAGTGCACCCTTGAATGATGTAGTTTCAGGGATGGCAGTGAACTTTGTAAATGCTCTGTGTCATATAGTTTTATGGTGTCTTGTTTTATTAACTGCCTGTTCATCAATGCACAACAAAACTGGAAGTGCAGTGGTGGCCTGTTTTTCATTGAAATAAAATATGTTGATGTCATTGTGAGGGTTTGGTGCTGCCTTGCTTCTGTTAAGCAGAAAATAAGCTTCCCTGTTCTTTTCACAAGCACATGTGGTTATGGTAGCTTCACACCTTTATTTGATCTAATTGTTTCAAAAGGTATATTTGCACTGACACTTCATGGCAAGTTGTGCTGGCTCATACAGTTTTTTTCATACAGATTTACATGTCCATTACATACAACTGTAAGACCTATCAGAATGGGGCATGCAAAGATCTTGCTTGTAATAGGTATCGCATGCCAGTGGTGCTGAATTTAAACAGATTAGCATATTGGAGTGAATACTAGAGCTCTTGCAGAGTGCTGGAATTTAAACACAGGTTAGCATATTGGAGTGAATACTGCAGCTCTTGCAGAGTAAACTAGAAAAATGTGCCCTTGTATTTTTCAAGTACGGATTACTTGAACCAAGGATTACTTGTGACTTCATAAAGGTCCAGTGTGTACTAATTGTTGAAAAGTATGCAGACCAAATATTAAAATGCGTTGATGTTATATAGTTCAGGGGGAGGAGGGTACACTAGTCATAGCCCAAAATTCGCTACTGTATACTTAGATTTGGGTGAATGTTAAAGAACTCCAGGTTATTGAAATTTCTGGGGCCCTCTACTAATGCATCCATCATAATCAAAACGTGGTTTTGGGACATAAAAACCCCAGCAATCAAAGGAAGGAAGAATTTTCTGCAATTGACTTGGCTTATTCTCTTTTGTTTTCATAAAGTGACCATTGCATGCATTAACAATTTGCAATGATTTTTAGGAAAACCTAAAGTTTGGGCTTCCAGATGACATAGCACTTATTTCACGCCAGTTTTAGAGGATGTGAACTTCCGCCTCTTAAGCCAAGAAATCTGATAATAAAAATACCGTATATTACTGACAACACTAAAAGCTGCCTTGGCAAGTTTCAAGAATTTTGTACCAAGGTAAAGTTTCCTATACTCCCTTACTCCCTCACAATCGATATTGCATGAATTTGCCTAATCTTCGTGATTGCGGCTTTGTTTCAGATAAAAGAATGGCTTTGGAGGAACCTCCTGAGCTGGTTCGGATTGCCTAATCTTCGTGATTGCGGCTTTGTTTCAGATAAAAGAATGGCTCTGGAGGAACATCCTGAGCTGGTTCGGATTGCCGAGCCTAGAAGGGTCAAAGCGGTAAAGTGGAAATGCTGAATTTTTAAATTGCTGAATTTAAAAGTGTAAATGTCACAAAGATCCAAAGGAACAATGCTTCGGAAAATCCACGCGCTAATCTGTCGCGAGTGAATTCAAGCTTTGTGAAATGCAAAGCTTGCGAACTCGAAGTCCAGGAGATCAATAAAACGCCAACGACAGGGTTCAATTAGCAAAAGGCGCCGCGCGTCTCCACCAAGAGGTAAAGAGAAACGCTCCTTGATCGCCGCGTTGTAAACTTTTTTTCACCCCCTCTTTCACCGAGCCGGCGCATCTGCAGCACTGAGTGGCTGGGACGCGCGCAACCAGCAAATCGGGTGACCCCGACGTTACGTCAACCGCGCGCAGACGAACTAGGCGCGCTTTTCACTCACCGCGCATGCTATGACTCCCCACTTCGAACCATAGAGAAACTTTGCACTTTGAGAAACTACTCACTCATATTATATTCACTCGCTACAATTTTCTGAGCCTTCGCACTCACTCGCGTTCATACGTCTGCTCACACTCAAAGGCCCTCATTCATATTCCTACTCACGACTACTCACACTCATGAGTACTGACGTTTCATACATACGACTCACACTCGTGTGCTCACTCACGTTCATATACTCATGCCATCTCGCAATCGTAGGCCCCCACTCACATTCATACTCGAGGCTACTTACACCAGCAGGCACTCACTCACTTCACACCCACGACTACTTACACCCATTAGCACTCGCTCACTTACTCGCGACTACTTACACTGACAGGCACTCACGTTTATACTCGCGCAAACTCACACTCATTTGCCCCAACTCACATTAATACTCACGACTACTCACACTCATGTGTACTCGCGTTCATACTCGTGACTACTCATACTCATGAGTACTCACTCGCGTTTGTACTTACACAGACATTCATCCACGTTCATACGCCTACACACAGTCATGAGTCCTAGGCACTCGCTCACGATCACACTCACGCCTACTCACACACATAAGAACTCGCTCAAGTTCATACTCACGCCTTCCCACACTCATATGCACTCACTTTCATACTCACATCTACTCATCATCATCAGCAGCAGCAGCCTGACTACGCCCACTGAAGGACAAAGGCTGGTCCACTGTTCCGACAGTCAACTTGGTCCTGTGCTTGCTGCTGCCACTTTACACCCACAAACTTTATAATGTGATGTGCCCACCTAACTTAATGTCTCCCTTTAACCCGCGAGCGTTCTCTTGGAATCTGCAAAATGAATCTGCAGAAAACGAAAGTAATGTACAACAATGTAATGTAAGATGCTCTGTGGCCTGTGTGCCAAACTGTATTTAGGAGCAGAGGCCCTTTGTCTGGCTGTATAGCCTTAAGTTTATGCTCCTGCTCCTGTAAGTTCTTTTTTTTTTTTTTCAGGGCAAATAAACTTACAATTCAACCTCGGAGGAGAACAGCGCTTTGATAGGTAACAGTGCACTTGAAGTTGCAAAATAGTACGTCTACTTATGACAGGTAGTAACTACGGAGACTAACCACGAGATTGAAGTAACGGGAAGATTGAGACGGGGGGGGGGGGGGGGGGCATATTCGGTAAGCATTCTTAAATTATCAATTTAGATTGCCATTATCTCTCAAGCGGAAGGTATATAACAGCTACATCTTACCTTTACTTATATACCTATAGAGCAGAAACCTGGAGGATGCAAAAAGGGTCGAGAAGGACGCAGCGAGAAATGGTTGGGAAAATGATAGGTGTAACCCATAGGGACAAGAAGATGGCAGCGTTTTATCGGGGAACGAACTAGTGTTCAGGACATCATAGCCAAAATCAAGCAGAAATGTCATTTGGAAGGGCACGTATAGAGTAAAGGCAAGATAACCGCTGGTCATTAGGAATTGCAGTCAGATATCTACCCATACTCATAAATACTACCTAACATTCATACTTGCGCCTACTATACTTAGAGTGCTCATTCACGTTCACACGACTACACACACTCGTGTAAGTAATCACTCACATTCATGCTCATGACTACCCAGTCAAAAAAAGTGAATGGGTCCAACTGGTCATACCAGTTCCCATGAATTGGTCCCAAATGGCATTAATTGGAAGCCAACTGGAATGCTGAACTTCAATAGGAAAGACCAATTGGACCTTATAGTTCCAATTGGCCAGTCCAATTGGTTCACCGCTGACCATTTGATCTCCAATTGGAATGCTTGTTAGTCCAATTGGCTGCCCACATTCCAATTGGAAAACCATTGGAACAGTGCATTCCAATTGGCCTCCCAATTGGCATCCCAAATGGTGTGCTTGTTGGTCCAATTGGTTGTACAACTACAATTTGGGAGAGTGTTGGAACATTGTTCTTTCAATTAAAATTTGTTTCATATACATAAAAGTTGATATTTGTTATTTACATGGCAACTTAATTTGCTATAGGCCAGGGCAGAATTCCAGGCTCAAGTAATTGTCATGATTCTTATATATTGGAGTCAATTGAGCCATGTATACATATTTTGAATTGAAAACTTCATTGTAGTGTGCATTAGGTTATGTTCTTCAGTCATTTATGTTCCTTATAAGCAACTTTTTTTTCTAGAGCTGTGGCGTTTACTATAAGGTACATTTTAACTCAAAACAGTGGGACAGTTATAGCATTAACAGTTAACATGAGTTTGAATATGGTACAATTAAAATGCAGCTAGTTCTGCTGGTTTGTGACCTATAGCTGTGCTCATAGAAGCAGTACTTTCAGTCTCCTGCTGGGTGATTGCCTGGACAAAAATAGGCCCATTGCTACATGCAAGCTTCATCACTTGTTTTTGTCATTTTTTTTTCTTGGATATTTTGTGTAGACGAAGTAATAGTCACTGATGTGGGTATAAAATTAAAGGTTGAAGTTGGTGCACGAAAGCTGTAGTGCAAACGGAGTGTAAAAATCCAGCACAGCACACATGTTGTGGGAATTAGTCATATGCGAAGCAGTCAGCATGCGTCAGCCAATGCTGGAAATTTCATTTTGAGCCTTCAGCGTTACGAGGTGGATAGACATCTTTGTCCCAATTGATTAGCTCTGTGCATATTGTAGACTTACCATTGAAAATGTTGCAAAGGGCCAGCTCTCATGCCTTGAAGTCGTAGTGTGGTTCAAGCACCACAATGTCGTTGCATCATGTGTATATGTAACATTAGCGATGTGAACTTGTAACTTTCATGCACTTGTGTATTTTTCAACACTTTCAGGGAGAAGGACAACCTTAAGCCACAGGAAAGCTGTGAATAAGGCCAGCAAATTCCAAGGTCAAGAGTAAGCCGTGCCTGCAAATTTGGTCTAGTCATTTTCCAGTCAACTTTTGCAATACTTGTACAAGTAATAAATTATTGTAAATCAAGTACCTTCATTTTATGGTTTTTATTTTATGCATGTGCAATACACATCACTCACGACCAAGCATACCGGATCATTTTGGTCAGGATGAACATTTTTGCTTTAACAATTTGGTGTGCTCTTTGCCCATGTATTTCAGCCAAACACCAATTTGTAATGGAAGAATGTTAGGTTCAAGCTAGACCAAGCTAGAAGTTCACTTCAAATGGTTGACCAGTTGCACACCAGCCAGCTCTAACTGGATGACCATGTACATTCAACTGGCTGACCAATGGCGCACCAATCAGCTTCAATTGGATGACCTGTTGGCACCAGTTGGCTTGAACTGGATCACCACATGTTTTCAACTGGTTAACCATTTGGGCACCAGTCAGCTTCTATTGGATGACCTGTTGGGTGCCAGTTCACTCTAACTGGGGGACCATACGTTTTC